CTTATTCTGTAACCTCAGGGGTTCCCCAAGATTCAATCCTTGGCCCTATACTCTTTTTAATTTACATTAACGATCTTCCAGATATTCTCACATCTAAGGTGGCATTGTTCGTTGATGATACTACCATTTATTCTTGTCACGATAAGAAGCCAACTCCCTCTGATTGCTTGCAGGGGGCATCTGAGCTTAAAAAAGATCTCACTTCTGCTACAGCATGGGGCTCACAGTGGCTGGTGAACTTTAATTCAGATAAAACTCAATTTTTTTCGGCCAATCGTTATCGCAATAATTTAGACCTTCCTATATTTATGAACGGTAATGTACTCGATGAATCTCCTACCCTTCATCTTCTAGGATTAACTCTTACTTATATCAAATCCGTTGCAAAATTAGCATCTGCTAAAGTTGCTTCTCTTTATCGAGCTCGTCACTTTCTTACTCTGGATTCTATTCTCTATCTCTATAAATCTCAAATCCGGCCTTGTTTGGAATACTGTTGCTATATCTGGGGCGGATCTTCTAATGATGCCCTTTCTCTTTTAGACAAGGTGGAAAAACGCATTGTAAACATAGTTGAACCTGCTCTTGCAGCCAACCTTCAACCTCTGTAACATCGTCGTAATGTTGCTTCTCTTTCTCTTTTCTACAAATACTATGCACTGCTCGAAGGAGCTAGCATCTCTTGTGCCATCTACTAAAATTCATTCTCGTGTTACTCGCCATTCAATCAAGTGTCATCCTTTTTCTGTTACTGTTCCTAAGTGTTCCAATAACTCTTATTCGTCTAGTTTTTTTCCTCCAACATCAGTTCTTTGGAATTCACTTCCTTTATCTTGCTTTTCTGATTCATATAATTTGCAATCTTTTAAGTTGTCTGTCAATTGTTATCTTGCTCTCCAATCTTCATCTTTTCTCTTCCAGTAACTTCCAACACTAATTAGATGTTGCTTGCTGCCTTGTTGGAAGCGAAGATAATTAAAAAAAAATAAAAAATTTACAATCAAATAAACCATTTCTGTATTTATTATTTTTTCCAGGAAATTTCCGGCTGCTTTATACAAAATTGTTAGTAACATGAGAAAAATTGAAAAAAAAAATCATAATTTAAAAAAAAAATAATTTCTAACAATAAGGTTTATAAAAAAATAAAAATTAGTATCAGATAACATCAATTGCTGTGAATAAAACGAGTTTTTATAAAATTTTAGATAGTGGATTTATTATTTTTTTCACCACTGTGTATATATATATATATATATATATATATATATATATATATATATATATATATATATATATATATATATATATATATATATATATATATATATAATATCATTAAATATATATAAATATATGTTTAATAAATATTTAATATAAATATATATTTAATAAATATTTAATACAAATATATATTTATAATATTATAATATATATATATATATATATATATATATATATATATATATATATATATATATATACATATATACATATATATATTAGAGTGTTTCTTATTTTTAAAGATTCAATTTTTGCATGGGTCACCCTGCCATTTCGTTTATTATCATAAAAAAGTAATACCTTATTTTTTTTATAATGATTTTTAGGGCTCGCTACCAACTCTACAGTATTGCACAAATGTACCCTAAAAATGCTTATGTTGCTTATGTTATGCAACAAAAGTGGTTGGTGCTTAGCATACAAACCTCTTTTAACTAGTAATTTTTTACTTTTAGTGAGCAAAATTGTGTCTATAATACTTAATTGTTCCTTTTGCAGGTTAAACTAGTGTAACTACTGTACAGTGATGGCTTCATCAACCAGTACCATGATAGCTACCAGAAAGAAAACTGCGATATGGCTTATTGTCCTCTTCTTTAGATAGTGTTATGCATTCATCAAAAAGGGATGTGTTGGTCCTTTTCTTCCATTAAAAGCAGATTGCCAAGCAAAGCAACAGGGAAGCATTACATTCCACAGCAAATAATGTTTTTGAAGTTTGGTCAAAGGCCCGAATACCTGTGCAATTAAAGAAGCATGTTGTCCCTAAAATCGAAAACATTTACAAGGAATGGGAAAAATTGAAGAAAAGTAAAGAGAATAAAGCTAAGCGTTCAGATTATTTAAAACAAAATGAAGACGAATGGAATGAAGGGTTAGAAAAACTATTCGATATTGCCCATGCCAACGCATTGGAAATGATCACCATTCAGGAGGATAAGGACTTCCTATTATGCTAAAGAGAAAAAATACGGGTCCAAATGAGACAAAATGGGTCCAGTCATTAAGAAATTGGAAAAGCAAGAAGAAGTATCAAGAAAAAGAAAAAAAGAAATAAGATGAGGAGATGGTAAGAAAATCTCGAGAAGAAACAGTTGTTCTTTCATCATTATCTGAAGGTGAAGATAACCCTAAAGAAGATAGCATAACTCAAGAAGATGCCTTGCCTAGTAACCAAGATGACCCTGAGCCACCAACTTTAGGTACACCGGCTTCAAAGCGTCCTAGACATGGTAGGAAAAATATACTGAATGAGAAGTTGGCGGCTAAATTAGATGTAGCTAAATAGAGTGATCGTGGGGCGTGTTACTTGTGATAACACCAGCATTACAACTTCTTGGTCATGATCCAACAGAATACAATGTTAATCCAGCTTCCATTTGAACGGAACGAATAAAACACTGCAAGAAGATAGCAGAAGGTTTAAGGAAGGAATTAAAACCCAAAGTTCCTTTATGTATTCATTGGAATGGAAAATTACTAGCTGACATCACCAATAAAGAAATTGTTGACCAACTTCCAAGTCTAGTAGCCGGAGTAGAAATGCAGCAGCTTCTTAGTGTCCTAAAACTACCATCAGGAACAGGTGAAAACATGGCATCTGCAGTGCATGATCTGTAAGTGACATAGGGAATTAACGATCAAGTAAAGTGCATGTGCTTTGATACTACTGCAGCCAACACTGGGCCAAGAAATAGGGCTTGCATTCTTCTAGAGCAGAAGTTTGAGAAAGATATGTTATGGTTGGCATGTCGTCACCACATTCTGGAAATTATTTTAGAAGCAGCAGTTTTGCTGTGTCTCTGCCCTAGTACCTATCAGAGGAATTTTTGATGATGAGATTCGCTCTGAGACAAAGGTCAAGATGGTTCAAGCATTGAGCAATGTTTCAGATAAGATACCTATAAAATGGGCTGCTGTGTACTGCTCAGTTATCCAAGAAAAGAAACTGGAGGACTTTGTTATGTTTAATACCTGAAGATTTTTCAGCATCACAGAACTTCACCATCACACTTTCTTCAAAACAGTGTGAGCGAATGGGAACATGATGATGAGTTCAAGACTGTAAAGTCCACTATTTGAAGTATGAAGGTTATCAACAACATTGCAGAACGTGGCGTAGCACTAATGAACAAATATAATAGACAACATACAAATAACAAAGAGCAAAAGCAGTTCCTGTTGTTAATAGTTCAAAAATATAGACAGAAATATCCTGACAGAAAAAAGACTCTCATGAGCGATTTATCTTAGTACTGTAATTATTGTCTTAAATAAACCTACAATCAAAGTAAAAAAGCATGTTTATTGCTGTTTTTTAATAATTACAAATGCAATGACAGAAAATGGATGTTTTTAATGCATGTAATTAAGTAAATAAATGTGTACCAAGTAAATGAGTCATTATCATTTCTATAGTCATATTTCTACATATACATATACAATATACTTAAGTGTCTCAATCTATATTATGTGATGAGATTACATAGTCTATTCATGATATGTAATGTCATTACATTTAAATGTACAATAAAGTATGACATATATTAAAAAACCAAAGTATACATGTATATTATGTCTCAATCTATACATACTTATGCTATAAGTATATATAAATAAAGATTTGTATATACATACACATGAATTTGAACATAAATTTAAGTTTATGCATGCAGTTTCTTTTATTAGCATATACATGTTATTAACCTTTAGTTTGCTTAAATTCCATATTTTTAGTTAAGAAAATGTATTTATGTTAATAAAACAGAGCTATTTATTAGATTATAATGTGTTTATTATTAGGCAATAATAAAAAATAAAAAAACTACAAAACATAGATTAAACTACAAAACATAGATTAAAAGAATTTTATTGTAGATATCTTCCTTATTGGTCTTATTATTATACACTTTTAGGATAGTTGGTTTTCCCTTAACTTTACTGGTTCCAGACAAAAATTTTAATCATTGTTTCAACTGCAGGAGTTAACTTTTGAGTTTTCAGGGCTGATGACACGGGTTTTAAAGTGGAGGGGTACAATTATCAATTTCTAAAAAAAGTCCTTTATATGTAAAAATTTAAAAAAAAAAGAATTTTAAAAAATGGTTCTTTAGAAAAAAAAAAGGGCATTACCCCCTTGGTCCCCCCCTGTGTTGTCAACCCTGGTTTTAGATGACTTTACCAAACTGTGTGAGACAAACAGCACACATTTTATATAAACAGCTTACAATTTCTTATATACACAATTTATCAGTTTCGTGAATTTTCAGGTGATTTTATCAAAAATTAATAAACATTTTTATGATTTAAAAAACTTTTTAAACAAAAATTTTTTGACTTTGTCTGATCCCCCAGAAGTTCTAAATACCATTAATGATGTTTATTTATGTATATCTAACTATTGTAAAAAAAATTAGACCTAGGGAACAACACATCCTGGCGGTCACTCTGGTACACAGTGACTAATAATTACCATGCAAAATCTAATATTAGATTTCTAAAAACAAAATTAAAAAACTATTTAAAATAAAAAATATGAATTTTGAAATCATTTGTAAATAAATAATGCAAAAAAAAAAAAGAAAAGAAAGTGAAAGCAAAAATAGATAAAAATGCAAATACTAAAAATTAAAACTAAAAGTCTAAAAATTACTATATATATACTTTAAAATTAAACTAAAAATTATATAAAAGGCTACACAAATACTAAAAATTACCATAGAAAATGTAATTGTAGATTCCTAAAAATAAAAATAAAAAATGTTAGATTTTTATTTATCACTCTAATTCTGAAATTATTTAAAGAAAAATTATGTTAAGAAATGCAAAACAGTAAAATACTTTACTTTAGAAATCGGTGAAACATTTTTGCAATAATGAATACTCTCAAAACTGTAATCTGAAAAAAAAAAAAATATTGAGGAGCCTAAAACCTAGGGACAATGAGAACTCTGCAATGTCTCTAGGTTTTAAGTTCACAATCAACCGTTAGTTAAACATAATATTTAAATTTTTTGACAATTTTTTAAATAATCTTGCAAATGCTTTGGTAGTTGTAAACTATTGAAAAATATTATGTCATTATTATTAATATTATTATTGTTATCATTATCATCAACATTATATACTATTATTATTATCAAGCAATATAATTGCTTGATTTATTGGGTATTATTAGTTATTTAGGCATAATAAATTATTATAGCAAAATGTGACAATATCGAAATATTTTCTAAAAGTTTGCTAAATAAAAGTTTAATAATAATTCTAAAAATTATTGAAAATTAATTATTTTAAAAAAACTAATAGAAAAATAACATAAAAAAGTCTAATTTATTAATTTTGTAAAACTTGAAATAAAATTGCCATTATTGATATAACTATGCAATTGCATAACTGCGAAAATGTCTCTTGAAAAAAATTTTTTGAGAATTGAAATTTTCTTATTTATTTTAGGGATTTTCTCTGCAACTTGCTTGTAAAATTTATTTCTCAAAATTTGCAAATAAAATTTTGTAAAGTGTTTCAAAAACAGCAAATATTATATAAAAAAGTTAGCAAGAAATAGAGTACAACCTAAAAAAATACCAAACTTGTTTGGTTTAACACCCACAATTACTATTTCTTTAAAAATTTTGTCCTTTTTGGCTGAAAAGTTTAATAACTTATTAAGTCTTACTGCAAACTCAACTTCAAGTAGTACATGTGCTGAGTCAACAAAAATATTGAGAAGCCACCTTAGTCAGATATTTTCAAAATTTTGATCAATTACAGATATTACGTCTTTAAGTTATCGTTTAGTTTTTTTTGTTTGGTATTTTATATTAACTGAATTACATGATCGCATTGACTAAAATCATTTTTTTAAAAGACCACCTCTGAAATATAAGTTAAATACAAAAAAAATATTTTATTTTGCCAACTTAATTATATCATTGTCTGTTTTTAAACTTTATCATAACTGTTCTATCTTTTTGCCTGCATGGCTGAGTGGTTAGTGTGCTGAGCTTCTGAACAAGAAAGCTGTGGTTCGAGTCCAAGCACCAGCGACTCTTTTTAAAAATCTTTTAAAATCTTTAAAAAATATTTGTGAAATTAAATGTAACAATATTATATGATTTAACATTTTGTTTTTTTAATTTTATTAGTTTTTTTTGGATTTTTAATAAAGCTAAAAAATTTAAAAACACGAAAAAAAGGGGAGGGGGGGGGGGAATTTGTTGCGTATGTGTCACAATTGATATACAGTGCTCACGTCCTGATAAGCTGAAGATAGTCTGATGTATTATGATATTTCTTTCCTATTCATTTCTTATAGTCCATACACATTCATGTACTGTTAGTAAGTTTCATTTTTTTCGTTTACAAGTTTATCTTAATTCTTTAAGTTAATCAAGTTAATCTTAATTCAGTTATATATAGTAGATTTAGAAATATATATTAGATTATATTTTTATGATTATATTTTAGAAATATGAATTCACATATATGAGTTTTTTCTGTTTGTGTTTTATGCTGAAAAACAGATAAAGATAATTTATTTGATATAACTAGCTCCCCATGGCCCGTTTTACTGGTCCTCAATTGCTTTGTAAAATAATGATTATTTTAATTAGAAGGTTAAAGTTTTATTATTAGAGAAAATCTTTCTTTGTTTTCTTTTGAGAAATGTTTCTTTGTCATTAAAGTTAAAAATTATTTATGTTGAGTGTTTACGTATTCAATAAGATAAATCTAACATTTAACATACTTAAGAGACGATTTTCTTAAACTTTTAGTACATAAGTTCAGAATTTTTCTTTCAAAATGAATAAGTTTTTTATAAGGCATCTAATAAGCTCTGCGAATGCTAATTCTTTTTGGTTGCTAACAAAGCAACCAAAAAGATATATATGTATATATATGATATATAATATATACATATATATATAAACATATATATATATATATACATATATATATATATATATATATATATATATATATATATATATATATATATATATATTTATATATATATAAAAAAAAAAAATATATATATATATATATATATATATATATATATATATATACATATATATATACATTTATATGCTAATTCCAACCATCCACCAAGCATTTTAAAACAATTACCAATCTCAATTGAACATAGGTCATCTTCCAATTCTTCAAGCAAAGAAATATTCCAAAAGACTGCTCCAATTTATAATGACGCAT